TTCAATTCCAATAACTGTCAGGAAGTGCGCATCTGTCTCATCGAATGCAAAAGAAAAAAACCCCGCAGGAGGAAGTACTGATATTCAAATTTCAGTGTAAAATAACAGCAAATAACATGAGTGTTTGAAACTTCTTTTCTGCCCAGGAAGCTAGTGTTCGGAGACGAGACAGATTTGCAAAAAATAATGTGACGGACCAACTGCCAAATTGGGACAGCTAATCAACAGGCTTTCTCAGACATCTCAAAGACATTATCAGCCTGACAGATATCATTCACACACTGATCAATGCTTAACTGATTACGAGAAAACAGTGAACAATTGCGAAACAAAAAAAAAAAAACGAGCAAGCTAAAAAGAACATACCTTGGACCACGTGTAAATTTTTCGATCCAAAAAGCACATTTAAATAGCTTGCAAGAAGATGTGCGGCTGGAGTTGTTGTTGTTGCGTGAATGCAAGAAGAAATTGTAAAAGACAAAATACAGTAAATATGAGAAAACGCAAAAACAAAATAAACCGCATGACAAAATACGAACAAAATAAACCGCTGTTAAAAAAAAAGAAAAAAAAAAGAAGTAATCAATTCCGCCTTTTTTTTCTTTTTTTTTCTTGCTTTTTTTTCTTTTTTGTTTTTTTTAAAAGGAGTGAAGTTCACATAGGAATTATCAAAACCAAAATGGGGCATTCAGTAATTAATAGGCGCGACGACCTGATGAAGACGAGTGCCGCGGCGAGTAATCATAACGCTCGCGCGAACGTGATCGACTTCGCGATGAGCGACGATGCCGCTTTCGAGAACGCTCCGACGGTGAGCGTGAACGATCACGAGTTGATCGATGCTTACGCGCTGATGAATTGTACGATTTGTTCTCAATTCCATTTAAAGTGTCCTGGAAATATACCCATACATATAGATAAATTTAAATTTAGATATTTTGTGGTTATGAAGAAAGTCATAAAAATCAAAAAATAAAGGTAAAAACAAAAATAAATATGAAAGCAGAATTGGAATGTTACGACCCATTAATTCGCATACATCCCCATTCATTGGTGGAATTGGATAACTTGTCAGTGTGATGGTTGCAGCAGAATTACAAAAATGCAGTAATGTGGTAAATTAAAGAGAAAAATGGAAAAAAATTTTTAGCTTTCTTCGTCAGCTTTTTGCATAATGTCCTTGCTGCTTTCAGGTGAATGAGTGAATGAGTGCAAGTCCAGGGCAAAAGTACTATCACCATCTCTATGTCATTGGCATCAAAAATTCCGTCTTTTGGGTTTTATAAATGGAATTTCGCAAAAAAAAGGGGTGTGATATTATAAAAAGTACGAACCTGTAGTGACGAAACCAGTACTTTGCAGCGATCGTCATTCGCAACACGACTCTGACGAATTAGAGATATTGCCGTGACCAGTGTTTCTATGGCCGATGTAAAATCATTGGCAGCCGCATCACTAACAGCACGTGTAATCGCTGAGGATGAGACCGTCCGGTTACGGTTCATTATTTCTTCGAATTCTGCATCGGTTAATCCGTCAACGTTGTTGGAAACTGATGATTGTCCTGAAAAAATTCGCTTTTTGCATTATTAAAATCTCCGGTTGCTCCGAACAGTATAAATTTATCAGCAAAAAACTGCC